CCTGATGATCCACCAGGACAAACTCAGCAGTGTGTGAGGAAGAGGAGGAGGAAGAGCCAGCAGCAGCTGACAGATGGAGAGAATAGACAGACTGTTCCCTGTTTGTGAAGGACTGCTAGAAAGTTTAAATAACTGTCTGTCCTGAATCAGTCTTATTAGGTAATGTTCAAATATTTTATCATTCCAGTGTTTTCAGTGTGGGAGAAAGTACTCAGGGCCTTCAAGTTACACACTATGAAAGGCAGCAACAAGTTTAATATTCAGAAACCTAAAGTATGTATCAGCAGCAGAATGGAGCTAAAAATAAATGTTTGTTTCAGTTCTATGAAGCTTTGAGTATTTTGGATTAGTAGTACTGCTGTGTTTGTTGCATCATATTGCTGTAATTGTTTATATGCTTTATATATTCTGAGGTAAGTTGATCTATAGTGTTACATCATATTCTATAAGGATGTTATGTGTTTGTATACTTTCTGCCCAGTTTGACCCATTTAGCAGAAGTCAGCCTGTTTAAGGCTCTGATATCTATTCTGTATGACTTAAAGCAGTTATGACATGGTCTGATTTTCTCACCCAATAAAGGAATATTTAATATATCAGTCTACTCTTCATTCTATCAGAAACAGTTTCACAGCTCGTACATTTTCCTTTTTACACATATATGTAAGCATTGAGCCAAATTTAGTAATGCCAACATATTAAACAGAACAATATTTGTCTCTTATATAATACATCTATATGATACACTGTCAAAGATACTTGTCTTTGAGTGAAGATTTAAGGTGATAAGGAAATATAAATAACATGCAACTTGAATCTGTTACTGAAGCTCAGTATTTGACACGGAGTTCAGAACTCACTGCTGTAATAACTAATAATGATTAATATAATAACTATAATATTGGCCATATTATATTTACATTACCAAAGTGAGATGATTAGCATGAACTTAGCTAATTGTTATTTACTAGCTAATCTTAAATGACTGTTCAGTACAGAAATGAAGCCCAACAATCATGTTTTACAGTCCTGTGGTCTCAGCCTCAGATACTTATCAAATCACACAAAGCTCATGTAGAAACAAATGTACAAAATATGTTCTCCTTCATTTCTGTCAAACAAAGCTGTATGAAACGTTTCCAGCTGTTAGTATCATGGTTGCTAGGCAACCTGGGCAGCGACGGGCTAGACCGTCCCATTTCACAAGCCTACAAGCCTGCACTTCCGGCCTTAGCGGTCTTTGAGTAGCGGCCCTCGAGGACCGTTAAGCTGCGTACTCTTGTGTATCCATATAAATGGCTCACCCTGTACATTGAAAGGCAATGAAGGCTAAATGAATGAAAATGGAATATCTGATGGCCACCAGAGTTTCACACTCCATGGTAACAATAAGCCAAACATTAATCTTGCATTACCTGTGCAATGATTGAGAATAACCAATCATAGCACCTCACCTTCACCTCATTAGACAGACATTCATTCAAAAATGGGTACACAGAAGGAGAGTGATACATTTTTAAGCTTAGAATTTTTTTCTTAAAAACATGCACGCAAGCAAATACAACAATCACAGAAACACGTGTATTTATAACATAACATAACAAGTACATTTGCATTTGTAGATTTAAAAAAAACAAACCCAAAAAAAAAGCACACAGCGGAGCCGCCACGTTTGCAAGAGATTGTGCCATGAGAGTTTCTGCATGGTGGACTCTGAAAGTCACACAGTCTGTGGCAGATTGTGTGACCTTAAACTTCTGCACTCAATGTTTAAGTCTGCTTGTCCATACTACTTATGACTGTGTTTTATCAGATTGGGTGGAAACCAAGAGAGAAACTGGGTCTTCTTTTGATCCAGTCCAACTAACTGAAGTTGCCAACACGTTTGTTTCTGTTTTGGAAGAAACATGTTTTGAATTTCACCACAGCAGCTAACAACAGTTGCTGATCCATGCTTATAGAGGCCTTTACTTATGAGGTCGGTTTAGTTAACTCTACTAGTGAGTTTCCACAGTCCTTTTAATCTCCATGGATTTATAGGACACGATTACATGTCACTAACATTGTAAATTCCATCTACTGTAATTTGTGGTTTTTCCTCTGTCTACTCTATCTTCCTGTACCTTTCTGTGGAGTGTATCTATAGAGTTGGAGGTTTCAATCTGTGGCTACTGGTCTCACTAACCTGCCTTTTCAATCTTCTTAATTTCCACCTTGGACTTCAACTCAATCCAAATGGTTGGGGCATATGGATTCAGATGCCTCAATTTGAATCTGTTAAAGGTCATTTTGTGTTAGAAATATTTTTCTGACCTTATAAAGAGCTTTCCATTGTTTTCTCTCTATAATGTCCGAGTCATAGTTATACAAAAGGAGGGAAGTTTATGCAATTTGTTCAAAAAGGTTTATTTAACAAAAAGAAAGAAAGAAAGAAAGTGGAAGGCAGAGGAAAGTGGAGGAAGTGGCTACCACAACTAACAATGAAGGAGAGTCTAGCTCGGTAAGCCAAATCTCTAAGATGACCCAAGTCTTCTAACCGAGTCAGACTTCTGCAGGGTTAGGCTTGCCCAGAGCATTGTCATGCAACCCAAATGATTACTTTCACATATTTAAGGCTCATAGGAAGCACTGAATGTGCTGGTATGCTGCCCCCTCATTGGTTTGAATACCTTAAAGCTTGTATTACAGGCTTTGAGGGATTAGAGGTTGTGTCGTCAGGAGGATTTAGGTACATAAGTCCCACTGGTTGGGTAATTGAACTTAAATGGAACAAACTGTGGATATGTGTGCATAAAAATACCACTCTAGACACATGGAACTCAGACTTCATTTTCTGAAGACATTTTTTTTTTTTTATTAAGAAAAAAAACCAAAAACATTTTACACTTTTGTAGCTTACAGATTGGCCATAGAAAAACAAACAAAAACCCAAACTTTCAAATTCTTTTAAAAATGTTTTTTCTTCTTCATTACGAATTGAAAAAGAAAAAAAAATCCCATGTACATTCTCAAAAAGGAAGGGCTGGTATATGGTGTAATGAAGGAAAGAGACCATGATCAAACAGTTGACAGAATGTGGGGAGAAGGATAAATAAAATACAACTTATTTTCCCAGAAGACCTAGCTAGACCTGGACCCCAACTAAAAGGCTGTATTTATTCATTAACAGATGTGTCACTGTTACATAGCCCAAAATCCAGCCCTGTTTTGTTTAATGCTGCATCTATATTCGAATCCAAATCTTGCAGATATGTTGTTCTCATTAAAAGACAAAAAAAATAAAAAAAAAAAAAACAACCAAAAATAAACAAATGTAGACAATATGACATTTGAAATCAGGCTATTCTTGTGCGGATCCAATAAGGTTTTTCAGCTTCATTTGATAAGCATTCTGATTGGAATATTTTGTAGAGAGATAGTTAGACATGTCTAAATAAGCAGAATGTAGAATTGTTATTTGATATGGTGGACTCATGTTCATTGGATTTACTGCTTTTGGTGCAAAGGGCTGGCTTCTCCAAGAAAAAAAAAAAAAAAAAAAATTCTAATTTCCAAGGTTCAAATACACACACATACATGTACATAAACACACAAACACACACACACACACACACACACACACACACACAAGATTTTGATATAAGTAGGTAGAAAATGGGCTTAGTGGCAGTGCTACTGTGTTTCATACCCCTCACGCATTCATACCTTTATCAGTCACAAAAATATGATATTTTGCTAAAACAAAATTCAGTTTGATGTGACACATATTTAATCAGTGCATTTCAAATGACAAGACTGTGGATAGTGGTTTAGTTTGGTTAACTTTCCAAACTACAAAGGATTCTTTGTTGGGTTTAGTTTAACTGGAGATTCAAATATTTACACTTCAGGAAATTACGTCTTACTTAAAGGTTAGTACCACCTGTTGGTACTAAAAAATATTTTGCAGTATTGCACAATAAGTCATAAGTTGTTGGTTTTTTTTATGTTTGCTTTTTGATTAATATTTGTACATGTCACTCCAGTGACAGGTTTCAAATATGCAAATCTATCTGAAATATAAAAAAGGCAAATATGACAATCTAAAATAAAACAGAATGAGAAACTGCAGAATTCGACAAAGATCAGTATAAAATAAAAATAAATGACTTTTTAAATGAAAAAAAAAAAAATCTTCAGAAACTTTTTACGTTCACCTGCAGGTGACTTTCACATTTCAACATCCGTCAGTAAAAACTTGTGCATCGCTAATGCTTTAGTTCTATTGAAAAGTCATGATCTTTGAGAATTAGTTAGCTTATGTTAACAGATGCTTTACATAGGCTAACTGATAGGGAGTGTATGAAGGCAGGAGAGCAGGTACATACTGTAAATATACACTGAGGGGAAGCATAATTCAATAAATGACTGCATTAGTTATTATTAGTCCACATTTCCCTGAAGCAATTTTAGCACTAAGAAATATTCAGCCTTATTTTCAATGCTTAAGGCATTTTTTTTCTATATACCTTTTTGTTGGCAAGTTTGAATTTCATTTAATATTCAACACATCTGAGCAAATTAAACTGCAATTGCAGATCTTTCTTTAGATCATTAATTGCATTTTTTAAAACCTTAGTGCAAAGATTTTTCAGAGAAACTGAGAACCAGATCTATACAAAAGTGTAATAATAGAACAAAGCATTGTATCTGTATTAAAATGGGAGTGGGGAAACGGGAGCTGAGCTATACAAAGAAGACTTATATATGAAAAGTTGTATGAAAATAGATGCCTGATGGATTTGGTTTCACAAATCCCTTTTAATGATATCAACTACTTTATTCTATTTGAAGGAATTAAATAAATGGACACAAAGTTCTCAAAGCTTAAATGAAACGAGAGCCAGGAAATGAAATGAAAATGAGGCCCTGGTCTCACTATCACCTCTCATGTGAAGCTGTTGATGAAAATCCTGCAATGCATGTGTACTGTATAACTGTGTAATGTGTGCATCTTGATCTAATTTCAATTTTTTTTTTTTTTTTTTTGCTTATTTCAGAACCAAAGTGAGACTAGAGTGTTTTGAAAATGTACCAATTTTACTGGAGAGGCCCCTGAGAGCCCAGAATAAAAAGAAGGCAATACATATTTTTTGGCCTCATTGTTTGATATGAAATCAAAAGGATTAAAATGAAAAAAGTGCAATATAGCCTTATGTCAAGTAACTGTTTTTCATATTTGACTGCGGTTAAAATAGGCAGTTATGGTGTGATTTTCATCTCTCTGTAGCAAAGAAGGATCTAATGGCTTACCAAGCTGGATGAAAACATTAGTTTCAATTGCTACCAATGTAGCTCTGTCACCCAGAGTTAAGTGTCTTTTTTTGGATGCTGGGTTAATGCAGCTGTACAGTAGACAAAAGCATTACAAAGAAGATCCTGAGTGGATGGTCGCTGGTGACGCATACACATGAGAAACCCTTTGTTACACAGATATAATAAAATGAACATAACTGTTGTAAATGTTATACCTCTCACGTAGTCTGCTCTTGGTTGCCAGCTATTCACATAATCAAAAGTATGGCCCCTATGTTAACAAGATGAATGTAGTTTTTCATGCATGATTGCTAAAATCAAACAGAGTTCAAGACAGAGTTAATCCATCACAGGGTTAATGGGGTCTGAGTATCACTAGTTTCACTGGTGTGCATGAAAATTGAACAAAAAAAAGTGCCAAGGGCATTCTACTGCAACACGTGTGACATAATTAATCCAAAACTATATTTATATTATCTGTATTCATTTATGGGGAAAAGACAGGTTTGAACAGTTGCTGTTAAAAGTGAAGCTTTTCAGGTCTCAGTTGAAGTGAGAGCAAGCAACATGGAGACCCCAGAAAAGACCAAACTCAGCCATCTGCCAAATTTCAGTGTCTGAAATGAACTGACAGTCAGACACTGGTTTATCTACTGGGAGTCTCTTCCAACCATTGGTTAATGTGAGTCATTTGAGTTACTGAAATTTTGTTTAACCACTGGTTGTAGTGTCCTGCCTAGCTAGATTTCTTTGAAATAAATACTGTGTCCTGGTATTTCCAGAAGAGGAAAAGTTAAAAACCCAAGAATTACAAACTTATGACTGGAGCCATTGCAGGTGTCCAATTCTTTTTGTATGTATAAAAATTGGCCCACACCCCTCTGTAAGAGATAATATTTGGGGAAACAGTTGCATTGTTTATTTCTATGATGCCTAAGACAACTGTTGCTAGGACCAAAGCTCAAGAAATTTAAAGACTTTACTACAATGGCTGCCAATATAGATGTATGGTTTGTAATAATAGCTTAGTATTTTCACCAGATGAAAGTGTTCCTCCTTCTATATAAAACTACAGCAATTCAATAGTAAATATCAATAACATTAATTTAAAAAAAATCTAAACACTGACAGAGGAAAAAAGAACTAATAATAATAATAATAATAATAATAATAATAAAAATAATAATGTGTCTTCCTTTGTAGTAAATAAAACAAATTCAATCCAAACTTTTAAGCCAAGAGTGCCTAGTGCAGTCACTAATGTACTGTAAACTGGTCTAGAACAGAGAAAGATAGATAAAGAGATAGATACTGATAGACTGATTAGCCACTACTGTACAGTACGTCACAAACAACACAGTCAAGGGTTGAACCTCCACACTTCAAATCCTTTCAGATATCTCTCTTTGTGCAGGAAAAAAAAAAAAAAAAAAAAAAAAGTTCCCCAATTCAGTTTCAGTGCTAGTTTTCTCTTTGGCCCATTGTTTGACTGTGAAAGATTAGAATATTTGGGCACAAGGTGAATTCAGAGGATTCTGTTTTCATCATTATGATTAGATATTAACTTAAAAGAATGTCACTGATTATAATTTGATTTGGTTTTGGTTTATGCTGAAATTGATTTTATTTGTTTTTATTCATATTTTGTAACACTAACCCAAATATGTGGTAAGCTCATTGTTGCTGATATTTTAAAATCTATGATTACAAGGGGAAAAGAGCCGGCAGTGATAAGCCATTTAACGCTGGTGTCTGCAGAGTTGCGTTTTTGATATTTCGGCAAAAAAGCTAATAACTCTGATATCAACAAGGCCTCTGCCGAACATAATGGAACAGAATATGCCAAAGCGTAATCCTGTGGCACATGCCCTCAGAGAACTATACGATGATCATAGTATAACTGGCAAATAATTATTATTATTACTATTATAATAATAATAAAATATCCATCAAAGCAGCTCAAAAAAAACAAAAACAATTTTTGGTGATCAGTGCCTATTGTAGGAATTCTCTGTATATAGTGGCTACAAAAGATGATTTGATTCCAAGACTCAATAACCACTTTCTTCTAGAATAATGGCTGGTTATGTGCAAAAGTAGCCAGTGAAACATGGCCGCTGGCTGTTTCTAATTTGCCACCTTGCCTTTAAAGCAAGAACACAGTGGGACGTGTAGTCACATGAAAACTATTTATACGGAAAAATAAAAAACAAAACAGTTTTTAAGTCATTCAGAAATAGATTTGAAATGTGACTGTTACCCTCTTATGAAGACCACCAACAGCAAACTACTTTCAAAACTTTCCTAAAAGATTTGAACTTTTTCTTTAAAACCCTTATCAGTCCACCAGACAGACAAAGACAGACAGATAGACAGAAAGCTAGCTAGCTTTAAAAGCATTTTAGAGGACAGGAGAGGGGAGGAGAGCGATCTCATGGAGAGCCTCCGCCTCATTCCTTTACATCATGGTTTCTACGATGGTGTGAGTGGGGGCCTTCATCAGTAGGCCCTTGTTCCCATTGGGGTCCAGGGGACAGGAGAGCTCCTTAGGCCCACGGTGGTCTGCAGGACGGGAGCTGGCTCCACCACGAACCGGGGCTGCCACTGCCTTAATCCTCTGTGGGGAGAAAGGTGGGATTAGAAAACTGAAGGTAAGAAATGGTCAAGTTATAGGGAAAGTAGAAAGAACAACTGATGAGCAAAGTCTTATGAAAAGATGTCAGGATACGTCAGACAGATTGTAACTGAATTACAATCTAAAAGATTCCATTAATTCCACTAAAAGTGAAGTGATGAATAATAGAGAAGAAAGAGAAGAGCTAAACAGTTAACAGCCAGGCACCCACCTCAATGAGCGGCCCATCAGATCGAATGATCTTGATGACAACCACCATGGGGATGCAGATCATAGAAGCCAAGGCCAAAGTCCACCCTACTCCAATGGCCCAGTCAGGATACTGGTACATCTTGTTGTACGTCAATGGCTTGTATTTGACCAAAGAGAAGATAAAGCAACCCTGGATTGGAAGAGGAGCAGAAGTGTACGTTTTTTTTCATGTATTTTGAATTACTTTGTATCTGGGTATTTGGTAATAAATAATAAATAAATTACTGTGTTATACCCAAAGCATAATGTATAACGTGGTGAAATATCTCTAAACTATATGTAAGAAAAGCTCATGATGACACTAGTACAATTTTCAGTGAATAAAAAGTTGTCGATTGTTAATTCAGAGGAAAAAAGTTGAAATTATTTCTCAGAAATGGGAACAAGTTTAATTGATTATCTGATTGATGAAACAACAGTCCTTACCATGCACAGTAAAGGAGTGACCACAGTCCAGCTCCATTTCATCCAAGGATTTGGTCTGTAGCCAATCATGTCCTCAATCGCATCATAGAAATTATCAACGCCTGTGGAGATAAAATACTCAATTGGCTTGCCTCCTAACTGTTGTGAAGTACTGCAGCTGAATTCTTACTGAAATCTGTTACTGTCATATTGCAGTAGCACTTCAGCCAATTTAGAGCATTATTTTAAATTGAAAAAAAATAAAGAAATTATGATAAAATGATAAAGAAATAAATACTTAAATAAAATAAAATTTAGATGCTATGACATTAGGCCTCATCCACAAATTAGAAATCTGAAGGCTCAAATCCTATCAGTGTAAATTGAACTAAAATTATGGATTCCAACAGCATGAAAGACACCTGCCAAAGTAACTAACATGTCACAGATTACAGACAGGAAATAATTTAGAAAATTTTACTTTTAGACAACCTCATCCTTTATTAATTGTTTGCAGATTCATGATCAGAAATAAGTATATTTTTTCTGACAAGATAGATTTGAGGTGTCTATGCGGACTTTTCTGTTTTAAGCTGTCTGTCTGTCACCTTCTATAACAAAAGAGTGTACACACAAATAGCTGGGATATTAAATAGGTAGACATTACTAGGTACTTAATCAGTAAACTTGTTGTTGTCTGAATACACAACACAAGGTCATGTTAACTGGTGTTCATTAGAAAAGCATTAATAAAAAAAGCATTTTATTATTTATGTAGTACTCACCATAAACCCAGGCAACAGCTATACATTCAAAGAATGCCACCCACAGAAGGCACACACCGCTTGCTGCATAGTAGTCAAACATCTGGAAAACATACATGCCACCCTGCAAAAAACAACAACAGAAACACAAAACAAAACAGACTTAGTTTTAAAATAAGTTTTTTTTTTTTGTTGTTGTTTTTTTAAATTCTCCTCTGTCCAGGTGCATTTCAGGTATTTTCAGTTTTCATCTTGTTACCATGCTTTACAATGGAAAGACCTGTATACCAGCATTACTGTGGCTTTAAGTGTATGAGGTTATACTACAATAAGTACAATAGTGGTTTTCCTTTGCAATGAGTTGGTGTAAGAATGACAAGTGTGACAAGAACACTCAACTATGAAAAACTGTTAATCATACATGTACTAATTTGACTATTATAGGATGCTAAGGTAAATACAGAGTAAAAGTGAGCAGTCAAAATGTCCACATGTACTTTGAGTGTGCACATGTTTATCCATTGTGAGAAGTTAGTCATGGGAATCCTGAACTGAAATCAGGCCAGTGCTGCCATAAAAAGATATTGTCATGGGAACAAGAGGGGGCGTGAAAGAGAAGGGGAGAAGAGGGGAGGGAGCACGGGTTGGGGCAGAAAACAGTGATGGGAGGTTGTAAGTACAGAGATAATGTTTAAATGTTGATCGTAGGAGAAAAAGCGAAGTACGAGGATTGCCGAAGAACAAAACAAAAAACCCACTTTGTATAATTACTGACCTGTAGATTCTCATTTAAGTGTTTCTTACTTTGCAGTAATAAAGCAAGAAAAAATTGGGCTTTTCCCACCTGTGGTGTAAGGAAAATTGGTCATTATAGATTTCTGTTTTGTTAAACAAAGAAGTGGAACTGGGTTATCAAGGGTCGTGTTCAAGAAAACAAAATATGTAATTAAAAAAACAATTTAAACAAAAAAATGGAGTTGTCAGGCTGATTGTATTAAGTAACTCAGAATTTCTAGTCAGGTTTGAAAATGAGTGATTGCCATCTCATATCATAACATAATTAAACATTTTACCTGATTTTTTCATGTCAAACATTTCTCATGAGTATGGCCCATGGCATACTGGATGTGGCATATTGTAAAAGTATATACACAATACCAGGTACCTGCTGTATCAGGACTGCTGCATTTTTCAAATGAAGGAGAAAGGTGTGCTTCTACAGATATTACTGCAATAATGAGGAACTGCCAGGAGCCTTATGTACAAGTAAAGAAAGGTGAAAAAGACAGAATCAGCTAAGATGAAGCTTAAGGAGGATGAGGATGAGAGAACATTGAGGGAAACTGTAGATAGGTGCTACAAACAAGGTAAATGCAAAGGGAAGATGAAATTAAATGAGATGAAAAACAACAGACAAAAGAAATAGACGGGAACAAGAGAGAAGAAGGAGGAAGCACGAGATTTAGAAAAGCTATATCAAGTCTACTGTATCTATTAATATCAAACGAGGGAAGGGAAGTTCTCATGACTTGACAGTATAAATAGCCCCCTGTCATCTCTTTTGGGATCGACACTAATAGCTGTCTGAACACTGTTTTTCCTGGAGTATTGAGTTGGGAGATGGAGCCTGAAATGAGGTCAGCAACCACAGTGTGCGT